CAAATATAAAACAAGAGAACATTGTTCTCTGGTATTAAAACCATGGTCGACTAACTCCCCTCCGTAGGCCTACGTACGTGTGCTGCGTCGTCGTAGTCGCCTTAAAAAAAACGAAAACAGCTCTTGATGTAGTACGCGAACAGTGTCTTGGCGTTGCCGTCACGGTCCATTAGTTCGTAGTAGACTGGCCGCGTAGTCAAAACGAAAAATGCCTATTGTATTTTTGGCGGTTGTGGCCTGCGTCGTAGTACGTTGTGGGCTTGAGTTAGTACGTTGTGTGTTTGTAAATGTATTTTTGGCGGTGTTGGCCTACGTTGTGTGTTTGAGTTAGTACGTTGCGTGTTTGTGCTAACACGTTGTGTGTTTGTGCTAGTACGTTGTGTGTTTGTAATTGTATTTTTGGCGGCGTTTGCCTTCCATAGCCGTGGTGAGCTTGGGCAACTTGGGCTGACGCCGATACACGTGTATAGTTTGTCTCAGATTTACAGAAGCGATACATTTACGTACGGAATTATTGAAGTGTGACATGCGCTCTCTATTTACGTGAATATATCGTTTCCAGATTTGTTTGCGGCGACGTAAATATATCCACTTCCTTTTTTTTAACTCTCCAAAAGAGGGGGGGGGGGGGTCGTCTTCTAAATCCCGCCATTGGAAACGTCGAAGCAAAGATTATAAAACTGCAAGAGGTCCGACTGCCCTTATTTTGTATACAGGCAATGAAACGTTAAAAAGTACTCCCACGAAGGGGCGTGTCCTTCATAAGAACGTAAAAGGCGTTCATTTTTATTTTAAAGGCCACGCCCCTTTTGGGTAGTACTTCTTGAAATAGGATTGCGTTCCAAAGAATCCCCGGCAGTCGGACCTCTTGCAGTTTTATACTCTTTGGTCGTCGAAGCACCACTCGTATTGACTGGCATTCTTTTTTTTTTTTATAAAATTTTCTAACGTTGTTTGTATAGCGCCCTCATATTACTGTATTACCAAAAAAGTTTGCATGACGTCATATGTGCGGGTTTTCCCACAATATGCCTGCTATTTTCTTGTTTTTCCGTTTTGTCGGTCTCTATGTAGGTAGGTAGGCATCCAGAGGCCCTAGGCCTAGTTTTCTGCTCCTGGTACAGACAGTACTTTGTTAAAGTATAGGGCTATATTACTTTCTTGGTACGTACAGATATGTATTAGACTTAAGCCTAGCCTTGGGCACATGGAACTTTTTTTTGTAGAGTAGGCCTAGGGCCTTGATGTATGCTAGGCTAGACAGGATCGACTCTAGGTAGGAGGGTAGACAGGGCGTAGGGTGGATAGGCTACACAAACCATAAGACAGAGGCACGGATGTACATCTCAGAGTGAGATGCAGGAAGGAGTACAGGCCTAGCCTGGTCAACCACTGTGTTGGACACAATTCCGTCCAGACGTCCCAGCCTGTGTCATCTAGTCTAGTCTAGTCTTTAGTCCTTATGTGATTTACATACAATAGGTTGCAGAGGGGTACAGATTCGTGATTAATTGAAAGGTTTTCGTTCGTTTTTCCCATTATTTTAACTAGTCCGGCTGGATGATTAAGATTAAAAAATTGTATATATATTTTTATTGGATCAATTGTTAAATTCCTCTTGAATTTCTTATGTAACTTCTGTCTGTAATTGTTGACCCCATCTGTCTTTAATGTTTCAAATATAAATTTTAATACAGTATTTAATAATATACTATTTGAATAATTACTTGTAAATTTTTAATTGCCATGTTTGTATTTTTGTGATTTTATATTCAGTCTTTCAATTCAATTCAGCACTTGCTGCAATAGACTGTTTTGTATGTTTCTTTTTTGCAATAAATATACCAAAATATATAAATACTGTATGCCCAAATATAAACTGCTGCACTGTGTTGCTTGTTGGGTTTCATACTAACAAAATGGATCATTACTCAGTAAATAAATATCAATCTACAAAACTTGTAATTGAATAGTGTATGTGTTGCACTTATATCATAATCACACTCAGTACTTAAAATAAAAAGGCCACTTGTTACTTTGTTCTATAAAAATATACAATGGTCCACAAATGACATCATATTAGAGATCTGTAAAGCCAAAATATTTTTGAAAGGACTTGCTTTTGTCCGATAAATCTACTCAACCAGTTATACTTCAAGCCTTATTCAATCAAAAAAGTTTATTAGCTTCGAGCTAATAAAAATTGTGCCAAGAATCCACTGGAGAGAAAAAAGTTTGGTGGAACAGCCAACAACAAGGAAAAACTTGTAACCTTTACAAAACAGTGGGAGAAGGTGATAAAAACAGCCTGAGTCAAATTACCATTTTTTTTTCACAGCTAAAGAAATAACTTTTAAATATTGCACTTAATTATTATTATTAGAAAATCATATATTATTATAGAGGCCAAATAAAAGTAATTGTCAGTTCCGCTTCCCCCTAGATCACCAAATTGTGAGTGCTATACCTCTAAGATGTATAGGTATTGTCACCGATTCTATCCAGCCAGATACTTATCAATGCACAACTTAACTGATACATGACAGAAATACATTCAGGTGTGGGGCCAGTGGGGTGGCATTGGGGAGATTTTTTTCCCCCACAGTATTAATTTTGTTGTAACAAGTATGTGTGATTTGCCCATATATGGGCATGAATAATATCACATCACACCCAATTATTAATATGATTATGTCATGTTGCACCCATTAGGGCATTATGATGTTATACCACTCTCATATAATAGGAAAATTAGATACTTGCCACTTGCCACTGGTTCGAACATGCTCGCCTACAGTATGTCTTCTTGGATAAGGACTATAAACAGTAGGCAAAGTGTATAAAATAGATTGTGTGTACTATGAAGAACCCAGTACATCATTTGAAACGAGTAGGGGATACCCCGGTGTACTGGTACAGTCAGCCCCTGTGGTGGATGACGAGAGTTGCTAGCACAGACACGAAGCGGCCCTTTAGGTGTGAAGAAAGTCATTGATGCAGTTCCTAGTCCAAATATCAAGCAGCACGAGCATCTTGTTTGATGGATACCAGCGTATTATTATATTAATATAATACTACACTATTATTATTATTATTGTTATTATTTTTAAAAACTTAGTAGTGTGGACAGAACTAAATTACAGTTATGTAATTTCTTTTTTAGTGGCCTCATCATGGCTGAGGATGATGCATATGTAGCTGCTTTTAAGAAATATCGAGAAGAGTTTTCCAAGTGTGTTAATGTAACAGACATCATTCTGGCTTTAGGAAACACACTTACCAATAATGATGAGGGACGCATTAAAGCAGTTTCAAAATCAGAGGGCAACTCCCCAGCTGCTCTGTGTCTCTGTGAATGTTTGTTTCGTAGACCAAACTGGAAAGAAAATATTGTGAAGGCACTTAGGTCAGATGAAATTAAACAAGATGACCTGGCGAACAGGATTGAAAAAGAATTCAGAGCAATCGATTCTGGTAAGTTTTTGGTTAGATCTAATGAATAAAAAATTATTTTAAAATGCAACCTGTGATAGTCTGATTGATGGAGGAAGAGATTAAACTAATTGAAATCATTTGATTAGGAAGTAGGAATGAACAGTATAATATTTGCTATTGTAATTAATATTATTACAGGTGTTATTATTGTTATAAAAGTATTAGAATTGTTACTATTGAATTATTTGTTACTACAGTAATGCACTATTTTTTGCGCTAAATTTTTCACTAGTGCATGGAAAATTACCATATTAATTGCTAATATTGTAAAGTTTAACAATAATTAATAGTAATTTTTATTGTTTCATATTTGAAAAATTTATTCTTTTATGCCTGTTTAAATCAAGCCTCATATCCTTTAACTGGCTTAGCACCCAGAGTGCATAGCCTCATTTCACATTTGCAAAACTGCAGTGTATACCATACACAAGCATAACAGGCTGGGAATAAGATCCTAATTTTGTTTTGATGTGTGCAAATGTGGTATATAGAATAAGTAACATAATATAGTTGGATTTTTTTTATTATTCATTTAAAGAAAGTGCCAATTCATCTCATGGAAGTGTTCCCAAATCAAATGTACAAATTCAAATACCAGTACAGTTGCCACAAACAACACAAGGCATTCCATGTATGTATTGATTCTTTAAATTAACTTAAGTTTTAAAATATAAATAAGTATTTTTTGTCATGTTCTTATTGGATTAATTTGTATCAAATAACCATGTACAAGTTCACCTTGACAAATAAAATAGTCCATTGTGAACAAACTGCATTCATTGGTCAAGTTTAACTAAGTGAACTTTGAACCGGAAGTATAATCAGGCTGTTTTTCCCAAGCAAGAATGTGCAATGAGAACAGGGCGACTTAGCGCATCCCAACTTTCACAGAGTGGGTCAATGATTAGACTGGTCATACAGGCACAAAATCGTACTATCGCAAAACCTACTGCAAATTTAAATCCAGCGGACAGCAGTGTGGTTTGACCAAGTTAAATTTGAAATAAACTTCAATTTGGTCAAAATTTATCCAATGTGAACATGACTTTAGACAGCTAAGTAAAATTGTGATTACCAACACTATTATTTATTATAAATGTTTATTATCCTCATCTCAATTGTACTTTAATTTAATACATTACAATGTGTATCCATTTTTTATCAGCTATGGTTATAAGCCAAATTGTAAATGTCTACAATGATGGGGCTAGATCAAAGGTTATTATCTCCACAACTTCTGATTCAGCAGGGAGTAGGCGTGCAAATAATTTTCATGATGTGGCACCTGCAGTCCCAGAGAAGGATATGTAAGTTGAGGGCATAGAATAATTATGTAAATTACAAAATAGTCACTATTTGTTGCCGTTGAGGATTTGATTAGTTTTTTTAAAGCCACTTTAGGTTTTCTTCCAATTTGGAAGAAGTATTATATAAAGTGCACCTTCCAATTTGAAAAAAACCAAAAAAAACAACCCTCCGATTCCAACATCCTCCTCCATTCTGAAACCCCTCCTATTCAGTCAAGACCACTGTTACAATAACTATTTTTGTACTGTGTGAAATTTTGACCAAAAGTATGTGTTGATTTGTTTCTGTATTCATTTGACCGTAGCAAAAGCTGTTCATCAAAAATATACATTGACTGTCTTTCAGGAACAACATTCCATTAAAAAAGTATGAAGAGCAGCTTGTTGCAGATGCTCTTGATGGTAAACAGAAGAATGTCCTGATAATTATTCCAAATGAAGATGAAACTAGAAGCAGGATTCCAGCCCATATATGTACAACTCATTTGCAGAATCCTGGAGTAGATGGTGTGAAGAAGCCTAAAGCCATCTGTCTTACAACAATCAACAGAATAAATTGGTTTGGCAGTCTTCAGAAGTATGTGCCAAGAACCATCAGGATTAAAAGTATTCTTGACGACCAGAAGGACATAACAGCGGAGTCTATGAAAAATATTGATGTCATACTCTCAACTCCTGAGATTTTTGAAAGAGCTTTGAACTCAAAAGCATTAGCCTTCAAGGAGATCACACTACTGATTTTAGATGATTGTCACTTGAGTTGCCAGATTCGTCATCCATACCGTTCCATTATGAAATCATACCTTGAAGAAAAACTGACGTCTAATTCAGCTATGACAAAAGTATAAAATATATTCAATATATTTTCTATTCTTTTACTATTTATATTTAATTGTAAAATCATCAGTTTACCTTCAACACAATTTTCCTATCCCTAGAGGTTGATAGTTTCACTCTTGCCTCTCGTACTGCAAGACTGACAGCATTTCCTTGCTATTAATTCTTGACATAGCTGCTGGATGCTTGATTGGTGTGTTGTTTACATACGCTATTGTACTACTGCCTAATTCAGTCCTACGGTGCACGGTGCAGTGGTGGTGCTACAGGGGCTAGGAGGGGAAGTTAGGAGAAAAAAATAATATTCTAAACGTTAATATCAAATGTTGGCCTATATAAATTAATAGTTTGGATGCCGATAAGATACAAAAAACACCATCCTTAGGTCGAGGTGCCCTGTTTGAGCGTCTAGCAGCTTATTATTTTGAATAATTGTTGCAATAGGGTGAGGGACACCACCTCCCAACCCAAATTGCGATTTTATACTTTTTAAAATTTTAAATGCCTGAATTTTGAAAATTTACCATGTTTTGTGATTTCTGTAAGTTTTTGTATGTTTAATGTTTTTTACTGTATTTTTATATTTGTGGAAAGTGCAAAGTTTTTAAAGTACTGTATTTTAATGATTTTATGTGTGTTTGATTGTTTTACAAATCAGGAAGGCAAATTTCATATATATTTTGTATGTATGACAATGAAATACATCTTATCTTATCATACGTACAGGTAGTTGGCTTAGCAACTAGAGGCAATTTGCAAAATCAGGGAGATGTGAAAAAAGCTGCAGATAATCTGAGAAACTTAATGGGTACCCTTGATGCTACATGCATTTTTGCTGTAACAAAAGAGTCCACAAGAAAGGAGTTTTACAAACAAAGTTTTCCAAAAATCTCACAGTTTTCCGTTGTTGAAAGACGCCAAGATAATACATTTTGCAGTGTAATTAGTGAGATGATGTCGAAAATTGAGCAAAAGCTGGATATGAGTGCTGGACCATCACAGCGCCACTCTGAGGAGTATGGGTTTCATATCGCAGAATTGAGCAAACAGGAGGAGGAAAAACAGGGCAAGAAAATTAAAAGTGAAAGATCTGTTCTTTTGAAACATTTAGCCATCTATAATGAAGGTAACGTTTGACATTTAAAAAAGAAAAAAACATTTTATGACCATCACATTATCACATAGTACAGTAGTATAGATTAGTGATGCACTAATGACTCAATTAGTATTTTTTTTATTAGTTTTACAGATGAATGAGATAATGAGGACCAAGGATGCTTTTGCATTGTTAAAAATTTTTTACAGAGAACATAATGACGATGAATGGCTTGACGATCTCTACCAAGGTTAGTTCAGAATGCAGTCAGTCCAACTAAAATCCATAATACATTCACCTTTTCAGTCTGTGCCAGTGGCGTCTCTATCATTATTATTATTATTTTAGCCGTCTTTGATGGAAAGACAAGTGGCCATCAGAAATACAAAGCTGTCCTGATAATTGCATCACCAACTATTTGAATTAAGCTTTTAAGTTTAGGGGGGGAATTTATCGACTGAATAGGGCTGCTTTCACAAGTGAAAGTACACAGACATCTCACTAGAACGTTTGATTTAGCAGTAGCTTCTGCCACTGCCTAATGCATCGGGTCTGTTACCGCTAGACTGCTAGGAAGTAGCCCTATTCCGCATCCGAAGTGGCCGTATGAAGTGGCCTGATTGGTCAGGTAATGGCTGGACTAATATATTTGTATGCCAAAATGTACTGTTGATGCAACATTTATTAATTTTTTTTACAAAATTGCAGTATGGCCTAACATTAACATATGTCCTTGCTTCAAGCATCATTGTTTGGTTCTTTCCTCCATGTTTGCACTATGAAAACACACACCCACAACCACACACCCATGCAGAAAGGATTAAAATCAAGTATATTGATTAATTAATTGAAGGTCAATGCAATCAGAACACAAATTTCATTGATCAAGTCTGTTCATTGATAAACCATTTTTTTTATTTGCTCACAGAACACTTAAGTGAGCTTTATAAGTTATCGAAAGAAGGAGACGGCAAGTATGAAAATCCTAGACTTGCTCATTTGAAGAGGGAAATTTTGGCAAAGAGTGGTGGTGATTTTAATGGTTTGTGCTTTTTAATAAATATTGATATTTTTGCATCAATCTCTGCAGAATTCATTGCTGTTTTTGAGTGGAAAGTGTAGCTTAGTGGTTAAGAAGTGTGTCTTCTAATATCATGATTCTGGGTTCAAATCAAAGTTTTTACGACTGTAAACAATTTCGCTACCTAAGATCCATAATTCTTCAGTAGTGGGGTATGTTAACGTGAAATTTTTTGGGAATTTTATTGTTGGTCGCAAAGAGCAACACGAAAAGTAGTTCAATATAATTGCCACTTTGAAGTGGTGTGGAGTTACAGTATATAGCTTAGTGATTAAGATACTTAACTGCTAATGCCAGGGTCTTGGGTTCAGTTTTTGTGAGAGCAGGACTTTTTCTCATGACATCAACTCCACTTTTAAAGTAACAGTACATTTACACATAATTGGTAGACCAGTTGGACCAACTAGACCTATTTGTATACCAGTTTGACCAAATGAACCTATTAGGTAGACCATTTGGACCAACTAGACCTATTTAATAGACCAGTTGGACCAGTTCAAACAGCTGGTACTACCAGTTTGACCAGTTCTACCAGTTGGATACTGTAAATGCTCAAATAAGCGCCGCGGCGCTTATAAAATTTTTGGCTTCAGTGCGGCGCTGATTCAGGAGTGGCGCTTATTCAAGAGCGGCACTTATATTATATTATATATTATATATTATATTATAGCGGCAAAAATATTGACGTGGCGTTTCCCTTGCCCGTTTCAATGTTATCTATTTCACATTTTCCCATAGTTCAGTAGGCCTATCATAGGTCCTATCATCGTTAACAAACGTCTATAAGAAATGCTTGTGTCTTCATTGTTATTTATTCATTTTGTGTTTTTGTGTGTGTATGTTTTCAGCAATAATAGTCAGTGAACATCGTCAAGTTCGAGAAGCTCTTTACAATTGGTTAAAATGTCCTGATTTCAAGAATCTAACAATCAAATCATTGGGTATCGCTGACAAATCAAGTGACATAGAGATCTTCAATGCTGAACAAAGACTGCTACTCTTATCATCTACTGAATTAAAAGATGCAAAACTGACTGGTGTGAAAATGGCAGTGATCTTTGGCATCAAGGATGGGATCCATATTTTCCAGTCAGAAGATGATGTCACTGATGAACTGCTTGATCTGGTGGCAGATTTACAGTTCAATGAAGTAGTAAAAAGTCTTCAGATCTTACCTGAGTCTGTGAAGCAAGAAAGCAATCTAAACAAGAAACTTCAGATATTGAGAGAAAGTGGAGAGGTCAAAGAACAAAATATATCTAAAGTGGAGAATGTAAGAGTTGATGGTTTGAAAGCTGTGAAATGGGTAACAGATAAAAGTTATTTATTTGATACAACTGTCAGAGGTCAAACAAGTGAGGGGGTAACATCTTCAACAGCCAGTAGTGCGTATATCAAAAGCAAGTTGTTTACGGAGAAAGAAAAGGGTTCCTCTGTCAATGCAAGTGGTAAAGCAATTGAGAAGGAAAGTACAAAACATATACCAAGTATGAGTTCCAAGGTTGATATGAATGCCAGTAGTCACGGTCAAAAAGTTGAAAATCAAAGTGAGTTATCAAAGTTTAAGCTTTACTGCCGAGGAGGCATAGGTCATAGAAAGTGTGTTTTTGTTTGCTCACTCAGCGAAATTCGCTTAATCAGTAGAACAAATCATGTATACAACGATTTCTATTGGAATTGGAGTAAAATTGAAGTTAGAGAACACCATGATGAAGAGAAAAGGAAGTGTGGTACAAAGAAGATCTACTGCAAAGAATGTGGTGCCGATTGGGGCAATACTTGCAAAGGCTACCCTTGCTTTAAATTAAAAAGCTTTATTGTTAGGCTTCCTAATGGGAAGTGGATGTGTTTCTCAGAGAGGAAATCATTTGGTGTTTCAATTCCACCAATGAGCAATGAGGATCAATAGGAAAATAGATGGTTAAAGCTCAGCATTTTTGCAGTTCATCTTCTGGGCTCATATCTCACCGTTAATTCATTTCTATCTTTTGGCAAGATAGTACTTTATCTCTTCTCACAGCCTGTGTCAAAAATTCCATAAGCTCTTGTATGCCCATGTATAGTCATAGTGTGCCTATATATGGTCATGATGTGACCATATTTAGGCATGTCACATGTTTGTGTTAGATAAAATATGATAGTCTGGACAGGGCTTAATCATTAATTCAAGATCCAAAACAAGAAGCTGCCTAGGGTCTCCAGATTAGTGCTATACTTTTTCCTTAATCTTAATTCAGCACAACATATACTGATTTTAACAGTGGTTCAGAAACACAATACTGTATAAAATTTACAATATCAGATAATAATTAAAGTATAAAAACCCACCTGTAATAAAAAGTGATTCAAAATTATATAGTAAGTTTTCGTTTCTTTTTTAAATCAAGATTACAAGTTTACATAAAAAGTGTGTGGTTGATATTGCCAAGAGTTTTGGTATTAGAGAATTCCATAAATTGGTTGATCATATAGTTAAATGTTCTTTTACCTTGATAAATATTTGATTTATGTTCATTTAATTATATCTTATAATCATTTAGGTAAAATATGAAACCTGTATATGTAATTAGGTAACTTTTGATGGGTCTATGTAGTACAGTAGAGTACTTAAAGAGTATTATTGCTGCTTTATTGATTATATTTAATTGTATTGTACAGTTTTACGTACCATTCTGAAGTTAAGGTTAAAAAATAAATATGATTCGTCAACAAAAAAATAATTAATGATAGGCCTATAGCTAGTGCAATTGTCAACATAATAATAATACAGTATAATATGTAAAGAAGATCACAGGAAAAGGCATACTGAAGGCATACTGTATGTTTCCATATTGTAGAAGATAACATTCCAAAATATAAGCTTGTTCCCCCACCATGTCTTCCCCCACCCCAAATTGGTAGAAAATGTTTGAAAAACAATCACCTCATTTTACGGGCTGGTGCCCCCTCACTTAATTTTAGAGCCCTTCACTTTTTCCCTTATCAGCCCCACTCCCCTCCCCGTTTCAAGACTCCTAGATACTCCACTGTTGCTAAGGTACCACAAAACGTTGTCAACGTACGTAAACAAGTCTGTTTGTGGGAACAACACCTTTTCCTTCTTCTGATTGGCCAGTTGGTAAGTTTGAGTGACACTTCGGAAAAGCCCATTGCCAGCTGTCTTTAATAACTTTTCCACATTTTTGAATATGCAAATACTGTACATTCATGGTATCCATATCGTAAGGGTCATATTGACCAAATCGAGGGGATTCAGAGAAGAGCCACCAGATTTATTCTCCATCAAAAGAGGCTGGAACAGTCCTATGAGGAGAGACTAGACACTTTAAAATCTTATTTCAGTTCAAACTTTAAGGGATTATTTTTCAATTTTACTAGTGTGTAACCTTTTAAGTAACTCTATTGATAATTCTGTCTCACATCGTCTCATTATTAATAATCGCCATCCGGAATTACTTGCGTTTAAGCATCTAATTTCAAAGAATGACATGTCAAAGTTTTCTATAGCCACTCGTTTTGTTAGACTTTGGAATTTGTTACCGGAAGATATTAAGAGTTCTTTTGTTTGGGATAATTTTAAATTATTTAAGGCAAAACTAAAAAAAATGTTCTATTGTAAATCTTAGTTTTTTACTGTTTATATATTTATTTTGTTTTGGGTAATTTGTGTGTTGGGAGCCGCACGTCCTTCAGGCGACGGTGGATTTTCCGCTTTGTGACTCCTGAACCGTCTTGCAAAATGAATAAAATAAAATAAAAAATAAAGGTTATATATTAATAATATAATAATATGAAAAAAGTAAGACAGGATATTTTGTATGTGGGTTCAAGGATTTGTAAGTATTTATCAACTATGTTAAGAACCTGCCTGAATATTGCAGCATTTCTAACAAATATTTAAATAATTACTGAATAATAAATATAAGAAAACTCATAAAATGGTTTTAAAAAAAAATTATGATTTTATTAATAACACAATGTATATGTATAGATATAAGAAAACTCATAAAATGTTTATTTTAAATTGTAATTTTATTAATGACACAATGTATATTGCTCCGACATTGCCGGCACATATTATAAATTGACACATTTTCATACATAAACCCTTCTAAATCTTTCTTAATAGTGTTCTCACATGTAGAGTAATTTTTGTGGTGGGATACTCATTTCCACTTGAAGTGAAAACATATGTACACAATGTATTTTGTATATTACTGGAATAATGATTAATCAGTTGATTTATATACTGTAATTCAATGCCTTTTAATTGACTTTTGTCAAGTTTGTATCTTGAAAAATCTAATATTTTTGCATTATGGTAATTTAATTTTAACAAAATGTATATTTTTCAAAATTCTCTTAAAATGCACTGGGATTTTTATTAACTAAAAAAAGAAGTGTAATAGAGAGTGACCTAATCTGAATTTTAAGAATTGCAATTCTTTTTGCAATTACTGTAATGTTTTACTGAATAAATAACGATTATTGGTTATCAGATTATGAAATTGTATTTGATTTAAAAAAAAAATATTTTGGACTATCACTGTCAGTCTGAAATATATTAAGTAGGTAAGACATTTTTTATACCCTGTTTTGCGAACTTATTTAGAAGATCGTCAGAAGAGGGCGGGGAAAAAGAAAATAAAATTTCGTTTTCTTATTCAGCAAATGGTTTGCCAAAAACATGCAATCAGAGTAGAAAATAAAATAAAATTTTATTGGTGATGTAAACAGTGTAGTAATTGGATGATTAAATGCTTAAAATTTATATAAAATAATTATGAAGAAATATACAATATATTTTTGCAGATTTCAAGGCAGTGGTGGGTGTAATTAAAATGATGAAAAACTATTATTTTTTTCTGAAATTTACATTTTTTTTCGTGGTGGTGGGTGCACTGATTGGCCAAAAATAAAATGTTATTTTTATTTTTAAAAATCATCATTATTGGCGGGCAGTGGGTTCGCTCAACCAGGTAAGGATACTTATAGAAAGAAGAAAAAGGAATAATAGAATTAAGTGTGTTGTTTTTCTTAATTAAAGTTTAATATTATTTATAAATATATCCGAACAATGGAAAAGCAGACAAAACCAAAAATGCAAAAAACAACTGAAAGAATAAATTGTAAGCTTCTGAAAGAATAGTTGATTAATTGAGTGGGTAGGAGGGATGTTTTTGCTATAATTATATAATTTATCTTGGTATGTTTGTTTTTAAAAAAAAAAGCAGTGGTGTTGGCAAAAGCTGTCTGTGAACATAATTTATGAAATTAATTTAGATTTAAGTACAATAATATAATTTATTTAGAATTTATATTTAAATAAAAATACAGTACACTGCTATCAACATTACAAGATTAGAATGACACCTCATGAGTGTTTCTGAAAGCTGTATGTCGCCCTCTTCAAGAAACAAGTTTTGAAGACGTCACATGATGGTGCTTTGGGTTTTTCCAAAGATACTAGAAATACAAGATAGAGTTCTCGCATTGTAAAAATGAGGCGGAAGTCGTGCCCAACGTAGGCGGCGCCCTTCTTTTTAACCATGCGGCCTGTAATACGAAGATCTATTTTGTTGTTTTTTTTCATATTCCTCTTTCTTAAAGGTTCATCATGGCCGAAAATGATATGTATGTAGCTGCCTTCAATGACATATTTCGAGGAGAGTTCATCAAGTGTGTTGATGTTATGGATATGATTGTGGCTTTGGGAACGCTTACAGTTAGCGATGAGGAAAATGTAAGAGCAGTTTATAAAACAGAGGGCAACACATCGGCAGTCATATGTCTGTGTGAAAGGTTATGCCGTAAACCAAACTGGAAAGAAAATATCGTGAAAGCACTTAGGTCAGACGATATAGGAAAAGGTGACCTGGCAGACAGGATTGAGGAAAAATTCAAAGAAGTTAAAGCTGGTAGGTTTTAACTTTGTTGAAATAGACCTTTTTCACGAATCGGTTTGTCATCTTGAAATGATGACAAACATTGCGAATCAGCGGTGCGTAACCAACAGAAGAAATAAGATAGGCTTTTGTTTTGGGCTGATTTTTTGACATCATGTTATTTAAAAAAATCATATCTTCGTAACGGGGCGTAGTATCCAAAAAAATTTTCAGCGAAATGTTCTTAAAAGACTAGTCTACACCGCTATATGATTGAAAAAAATTGAAAAATGTTTTTGACCTCTGAAATCAAGATGGAAAAAGAAAAGCCTATCTAAGTAGTATATTATAAGTGTATTAAAATAGGTCTGTGTATTACAGTGCAGTTATATAGATTATCATCAGGTCATGGCCTCTCATCAAGGTTCTGTTTACCAAATTTTCATAAATAGAATAAAACAAATAAAAATAAACTATAGGTTAAAATTTTTTTGTTTATTATAGTCCGACGGACTTCGGTGGTGCCAAAATTTACTCAGTTCATTTATTTTGAACGCTGTGGCTATTTTTACGAACGAGTCGTGAAATTAGCCCCAATGCTATTCTTACGACAATGGATGGCGCATGCGCGGTTTGCGTCCTTGTCGGGGGAAACTTCATCTCTAGGCCTACAGAAAGGGCACGTACAGCTCAGACGCAGTAGAGGCCAGTTAGCCTCCGCACAGCGGACTAGCTAGGAGTAAACTTCATATAGCGATTGAGTTTAATCAAAGATACTAGAATGCAAGATAGAGCACTCATAGCTAAAATGAGGCGGAAATTGGTCCAGACGTACACAACTCCCTTCTTTTTTTATAATGCAAGTTTTCTATACTTGGTCCAGACGTATAGTTTGCCCTTCTGTCGCTAGGTTTATCCAAAGAGTCATGCCACACCCCTTTTGGGTAGTACTTTTTCAAATAGGATTGTGTTCCAAAGAATCCCGGCAGTCGGACCTCTTGCAGATTTATGCTCTTTGGTATATCCAGACGCACATGGTGCCCTTCTTCTTTTCCACTGATGGAGGAAAACTTATCACTAATCAGAGTCCGGTCACACGATTCTGTGCTTTTGTGTCAGTCTTTTTATTGTTTTGATTTATTTATGTGCTTGTTTGTATTTTATGGATAATGGCAACGATTTTAACCTCTGCAAAATGAGATTATGTATTCACAGTTATGTAACGGTGGCAGAATTTTTTTTAGATCCAGCTGTACAGTATGCGGTGCCCCATTGTTTGTATTCCCACCATGCATTTCGGTGGAACAGTTTTTTCTGTGGAGAACTCTATCTTGTGTTTCTAGTATCTTTGGTTTTTAATGGACCTTCCAGTTTCTAGGCCTATGTCATGTCAAGCTTCAGGGATGTGCAATAGGCCTACATTATTATTTTATTTCATAGTTACGTTCGGTGCAACTTATTATATAATACTGTAGTAGTAATTTTATCAATTTCCGAATGCTTCATAATGAAAGACAATGCTTTTTGTTATTGAATTGATTTGTTAAATCAAATACACATTTATATCTGATTTTTGTAAAATACTATGCAATAAAGTTACATAACAGAACATTTCACATGCTTGTTTTTCGAGGCTAGATTCAAGATAGTTTTATCATATTCATCTGTTGTTTTAAAAAAGAAAATAAATAGAAAGAAAGAAAAAGAAAAAAAAATGATCGCCCAAAACGCCTCAGAAGTTATTTTCGGGCGTCTAGAAAACAAAATGTTCATGGGGGCGTCCCCCCTAACCCCTAGTGGTGTTATCTCGATCCCCCACCCTTTTTTGGACATCTCAGGATCCGCCCCTGTGTCGTGTTGGTGCCCTAGACCGGAGTCACAAAAATTCAGGTACCATCGAGAAACTAGGTTATTTTCCATGTTTAATTTTCTATGTTGGAGATAGGCCCTAGGGCTAAACATTTATTTTGTTTTTCATGTACAAAATTTAAATTGTAGGCTAAATGATGTACTCTAGTCCATTCCTGCCGCGAAGTTTACTCCTAGCTAGCCCGCTGTGCGTAGGCTAACTGGCTTCTACCGAGTCTGAGCTATGATGTAGCCTTTCTGTAGGCCTGAGACGGTCGCGATGCGTTCAGTTCAAGTTTTCCCCGACGAGGACACCCTAAACGCGCATGCACCACCCATCGTCGTCAGAATAGCATTGGGGGCTATCTTCACGACTTGTAAAAATAGCCACAGCGTATTTAGACATCTTAAAGTACAGTCATGGCATATAATATCTGGGGGTGGTGGGAATTTTTTTCCCATTGAATAAACACCCCCTCCCTCTCTGAATGACTAAACAAAACTATAATGGAAGTAACATAATTTTCAACACATTTCATTATATTCTACTACATTTATATTGTTACAAGTCAAAGAGGAAGCACAGAGCAGGGTAATACCGGGGTACCCAAATTCAAGAAAGTGTGAATCCTGAGGGTCTGAGGTTATTTGGACAAATTTGGAGATCTATACTATATTAAGCTTAGGTAAAGTTGGTACACTGGGGCAGATCCAGGGCCCATGGGTGCTAGGGCCCCAAATAAAGAGAGAAGGAAAGAAATAAAAGGTGAAAGAGAGAAGCATAGTACTGTACTCCCAAAACAAGCTCATATTTGATTTGAATTTGTACCATCTGTCTATTGTTATTGTAATTGTAACAACAAGCAGTGAGGTGCTCAATTTGATGTGTACAATGTATTGTTACCACAGTGTGATTATAATGTTTTAGATTCTTTTTTCATTTAAGGAATCTCCAATCCATTGCCTTTCCATCAAACTTGTGGAGATGTTTCAAATTCCAACCAGAGCTTATTGCCACTATCACCACAAGGTAGGTATTGAATATAATTTAATTTAATTTTATATTCTGCTTAGTATTTAGTATCTCAAGTCAAATACTCATCCTATAAAGCTTGATGATGATGATGATGATGTTAACAACATCGATGAAAGCAGCAACTACGGTGATGACAACAATGGTGGTTATGATGACTAGAGCCAGGGCTTGAAAAATTAGTCTGACTGGACGTCACCACTATTTGGCTGTTTAGTGTACAATTAGTGTTGGAGGCATTTGATTAAGTTTACTGTCAGGGGCACAAACATTTTTTTCCAGCCTGGATTATAGTGATGCATTATCTATTACAGTACATTTGTTGTCATCATAATCCCAATGTTACATTAATCTTTGCATATATTCATTTCTGTCGCCAGCTACGGTAAATATAAATGTAAATGTTTACAATGGAGCAAGACCAAAAGAAACCTCGCAAGTGGTTATTGACAAAGCACCAACTTCTGATTCAGCCGTATTTGGAATTAGACCTACAAGCAGTGTTTCTACATTTCTAGAGAAAGATAGGTAAGTTAAGGCCATGTGAATTCAGGGGTCCCAATTCTACCTCAAGTCGCAGGAGTCGCCAAGAAATTGGGATGGCCTCCCACACTCCCGCAAGCAAGCAAGAATCACCCATAAAATGACCCATCTTCCACAAATTATAATACAGTAAAACCCTTAATTCCTTTAGGACACCCATATTAGAGGGGAAATTTTTCATTCCCCAAGGATGGTGTCCCCTCAGGGGTTTTACTCCAATGTTTACACATTTTTACTACTTTATTTATCAATTGTCTTATGGAAGTTTGTGTCGATGAATATTACCATGCTCAGAAAAATAAAATATTAAAAAATTTAAAAAAATTAAATAATTGGAGCATTTCTAAAGTTCACGTTATCTGAGTATTTATTTTTATAAAGGAAACATCAAATTTTTACCATTTAAACGTCTACATTTTTGTGGGCGGCTGAGTGCTAAATCCTCAAAAATTCACTTTAGGTTTCCGACACATTTTATTTCCAACCCTTTATTAAATCCGTTGGATTATTGTTTAAATAATTAGTAAACGTGTATTGCCTTTTAGAAGTAACATCTTTCAGCTGACTAAGTATGAAGAGTTGCTTGTTGGAGACACTCTTGATGGTAAGCAGAAGAATGTCCTGATCATTTCTCCAGATGAAGATGAAACCAGAAGCAGGATTCTTGCCCATATCTGTATAACCCATCTGCAGAATTCTCAAAGTGGAAGTGGTGTGAAGAAGCTGAAAGTTGTATATCTTACATCAACCAACAGATTGGGTTGGTTAAGCAATTTTGGGAAATACCTGTCATCCTTCGGGATTTACACTAATCTTAATGACCAGAAGAACATAACAGCAGAGTCTATGGAAGAATATGATGTCATACTCTCAACTTCTGAGATTTTCGAAAGAGCTCTGACATCGGAAGTGTTAGCCTTCAGTGACATCACTCTGCTAATCCTTGATGAGTGCCATCTCTGTTGTCAGAGTGGTCATCCTTTCCGTTCCATTATAAAATCATACCTCACAGAAAAACTGGCAGCTAATTTAGCTTTACAAGTATGAATTGTTTCACCATATGTTTTGTTTCTTATCTAAAATAAATTGTATTGCATAATAGTTTTTCACCCAGTGATTTACCTTGCCAACTACAAATACTGTTTCTAAAATCAAGAAGTATTATTGATATTACAATATATGCATCCATTTAATGTCCTCAGGTAGTTGGCTTGACAACTAGTAGCAATATACACAATCATGGAGATATAAAAGAAACAGAAGATAATCTGAGCAACTTAATTGGAACATTAGATGCTATGTGTGTTTCAATGATAACAGAAGAGGCCACAATCAATGAGTTGTATTTGCAAGTTTATCCACAAGTGACACAGCTATCAGTTGCCACTAGACGCAAAGATGATCCTTTTTGCAGAGTAATTAGTAGAATGATGTTTGATATCGAACAAAAACTGGAGCTAAAAGTTGGACCATTACAGCGTTATTCTCAGAATTATGGATATCACATTGCAGAATTAAGGAAACAAGAGAAGACTCAAAAGAAAGATGATGAAGAGGAAAATGGAACAATTGTCCTTTTGAATCATTTAGCAGTCTACAATAAAGGTAACCAGACAATGATACCAAGATTACAATTTGTACCCACTTGCGAGTTTTATATAAAAAAAAAATCATACTAATTTATTATTGACTAAAACATTCATTTTTTTTTGTTTACAAGTTTTGCAGATGAATGAGATGATGAGGACAAAGGATGCTTTTGCATTTTTAAAAAAGTTATACAAAGAACATGATGATGGCAATGAATGGCTTGAAGAACTCTACCAAGGTAAGAGTTCAAAGTAATCAATTCAACTGAATTGCACAGCTCATTATTGAAGTTCATTGATCAATTTCTTATTTCTTAGTGCATTCATCAAATCTACATTGATCAAGTTCATAATACATTGATCTAGTCAATAGTACATTGATAAAATCTATAGTGCATTGATCAATCCATAGTGCATTGGTCAAGTTCATAATACATTGATCAAGTTCATATACTGTACACTGATCAACTTGTACAGTGATCAAATCTATAGTACATTGATCAAGTCCATAGTGCACTGATCGGGTCCATAGTACATTGATCAAGTCAATAGTGATCAGGTTCATAATACATTAATCAAGTCCGTAGTACTTTTAATCATGGTTCATTGATCAAGTGTTCGTGTATTGATCAAGTTTATTGTGGATTGTTGATGTCCATAATACATTAATATATTTCATATAATGTCATGTTCATAATACCTTAATAAAGTATTTATTAATTTGCATTACAGAACACTCCAGTCAACTTTATAAGTTATCAAAAGAAGGAGACAGCAAGTATGAAAATCCTAGACTTGCTCATTTGAAGAGGGAAATTTTGGCAAAGAGTGGTGGTGATTTTAAAGGTTTGTGATTTTTAATCTTATAGATGATCATATTTGTGTATCAAGAGCAGATATATCTACGTAGTATTCAATGATCTTTGAATGGGACATTTTAACATAGAAAAATGTGGGGTAGCATGTTTGTTAAGATGAGCACCTCTCAATTTCATGATCTTGGGTTCAAATCTAGCAAGTGCCATGTTGTCACAACTGAAACCAACTCCTCCATAAGCCTCACAATGAATTTATAGACATATTTTTAAAATATTTAAAGAGCCCTTTAAATTACTTTATGACATATTTGTAAACCAACATTTACATTAATCATCCTTCTAATACCTACTCATCTGGTTTTTTTTTTATTTATTTAATGTAACACATTTTTATATTGCTTTTCTGTTTTTGTGTTCTCAGCAATAATTATCAGTGAACACCACCATGTTCTGGAAGCTCTTCATGATTGGCTTATTTCTAGGCCAGATTTCAAGAATCTACATACACAGTTATTAAGTACCACTGACAAATCAAGTGAAATGGAGAGCTTCAATTCTGGAAATAAAAGACTCCTGCTCACATCATCTGCTGGATTAGAAGGTGTTAAGCTGATTGGGGTGAACATGGCAGTGATCTTCGTCTCTGTCATGGATGGGATCCGTATCTGTCAGTCAGATGAGGATGTCACACAAGAACTCCTGGATTTGGTAGCACAGCTACAGTTAACTGAAGTAGTAAAACATCTTCAGAACTTACCGGAATCAGTTAAGCTGAAGAACAATCAGCACAAAAAACTCCAGATATTGAGAGAAAATGAAGTGCTGGAAGAAAGCATATCACCTAAAAAGAATATATCAGAGAACACGAGAGTTGAAGAGTTCGAAGTTCTAAAGGGTGTATCAGGTAAAAGATGCTCATTGGATACAAATGTCAGAGGCCAGCCAAGTCACGAGGGAGAGCATGATATTAGTGAACCTATGAAATCTCCAGTGGCATTACCCAGTAGTCTAAAGACTAAAAGTAAGGCGGTTAGGGTGAAGGAAAAGGATGTACTAGTGGAAAGTTTCCCATCGCTTGTCAATCAAATCGGTGAGGAAAATGAAGAGGGAAAAAATCTATCATGCAAACGTTACACCGTTGATAAGAGTGTTAGCAGTAAGGGTAAAAGTCAGTTATCAGAGTTCAAGCTCCACTGCCGAGGCTCCACAGGGAATGGAAAATGCACAACTGATACAGGGACTTTTGCTTGTTCACTCAGCGATGTTAGGTTGATGAGTCAATTCAATCATGTATACAAAAAGAAGTATTGGAATTGGAGTAAAATAATTGTAAAAGAACACCGTGATAAAACGAAAAGAAAGGATGGAACGAAGAAAATTCACTGCAAAGAATGTGGTGCCGATTGGGGCAACACTTTCAAACTGTACCCTTGCTTAAAACTGAATAACTTTAATGTTAAGTTTCCAAATGGGGAGCTGAAGTATTTTCCACAGTGGAAAAAACTTGATGTTCCAATTCCACCAATGAAGGAGGACCAATAAAAAAATTTAAATGTCTGGCACACTGGTATTTTGATCAGTGGTGTAATGTCTATTTGATTTTGGAGGCCGGGTGCACAAAACGTGGTTTCTTGCAGTCCAAATGAGGATATGTTGTGGCGAAATGGTTAGGCTGTCGCACTGACCAGTATTGAGTAAATGAGTTATAAAATATGGGAGCTAAAAAAATTTCCAAATTTGTTTTTCATTATAGATCAACAGTTTAATTCTTATTAAACATGTGCCCCAAAGGAAATGGTCAACAAATTGTTTATTTAACGTTGATAGTTAATTCTATTAAACAATGTATGTACAAATAACTTTGGAAGGCAATTACTCCAAATCATGTTTATCTTGATTCTAAAAGTGCTGCACTTTCACTTTCAAATAACTTAGGCTTGAAATGTCCAATTTTAATGAATGACCCCTCATTTTAAAGATTACATTAGGTAACTGAAATTACCAGTAACTTGTATTTCAATTTTTCCTACAACTTATCCATTTTGCCATACCATGCCTCAAATGGGCAAGAACCCTGTTACGTGGCATTTACATTATGGTTCCAGTACGAGTAGAGAAGTGCCAAAACTAACCACATCAAAACAATATGTAATTCCCAGTTTTAACTGGTAAATTATTGATTTTGTCAGATTTTAATGGCTTCAGTATGAGCTACATGATTCAGCATTTAAATATATAAAAAAGTAGACCTAAACAAGAATGCATTTAATTACAAAGCACTTTCACGATGTATGCATGTACGATGCACATAATTTGTTATGTTTAAATTGCATGGTTAAAGTGTAGTCTTTTTAGCCTTGATATTCATAAATAGGAATCAAAGAAATACTGTCGCCTCAGCCATCTTGTGAGACTTCATGAGTGAATAATGAAATGAAATGAGCCCTCAATTCAACACTTTCTTGCAGGTTGTTATGCCACTGATTTTGATTGATCAGGTTTCCTTCTTAAGAGTTAAAATCCCAGTGCCTATTTTGCTTTCATATGTGACAAGCCACTTAAATCTATATTTGTTTAAATCTACAACTGTGTTTTCTCCCCGACACCACCCGTACCCGAGCCAATGCCATCCATGTATTTTGTGCGTGGTTAGTATATATCTAATGAATAATTAAAGGTGCATTTTGTTGGTAGATATCAGTGCTATACAATATTTCTATTACAAGATGAGTAGCCAACAGTTTCTTTACTGCCAGAACTAAAAAATATTCACTGGAAAATAGATGCTTCAAACTACTGTATAATTAATAGTACAGAATCTTAATGTTAATTTACTACAATACAGTATTTCTTTATAAAGTTATTAATTTATCAGTAGCAGGCTTATTATTTCTTCGAATATTTATATATAGTATTTATAGGTTTCACACTGCCATTATCCTCATTTGATTCATATGTAAAATCATTACACGTCTAAAGATTAGGTAAAATAATGCAAAGATCATATCGCCAATCAAAGTGATTATGGAGTGGATAATTCTTATTTGTTGCTAGTAAGATCACTTTGTCTTAAATTCTTCTTACAGTCTACAACGTTATTGAACATCGAATGTGTTTCATTTCGGATTATTTGGAAGCTGAACCAATTCATCCATAAATCAAACATTTTCCACAATACAAACTGCCATCTCTACATACTACTCTCACATTTCCTGCAGGAGCCCAATTGAACCAGTGCAATTTCCTGCTATATATGTATTTTTTTTAAACAAGTAAGTACGAAGAATACGATATTCACGTCAGAGAGGCCTAAATTACTGGAGTAATATCAGTAACTAAGCTACTTATTTAATAGCCACAATCTACCTGATTGATTTTTACTTTTACATACCATGGGCTTTGATTTGCATGCTTCCTAATGTCAAAAATTACTTCTTTATTTGTTGATAGACTGGGTTCCAGTCCCTAATATTTGTCTTAATCAGTTAAAATGCTTAAGAATAAATCGACTTTGGCACCAATGGCGTTCCATATTACTAATTTGCATGGCGTTCCATAGTATACTTTTTCTTGGATTTTCTAATTCGCATCAAAAAGTTTCTCGACATAAACTGACGCTGGTGACGCTTTCCGAAATGCGCTAATATTACGAAAAATCAATGAATTACAGACTTGTGGCAAGTCTATATTTGTTGACTGCCAAACCATTAACCATAAAACAAACAATTAAAATACTGTATTTCTTGTAAAGGTTCATTACTCTTTTCAATTAAACCCGAAAACACTCATCCTCAGTCCACTTAGATAAGTACTGTATATATACATTAAAGGCGAAAAGACATCTTTATATCAAAGAGAAGAAGCCATCGATCCATATGACAAAAAATGTTTTAAATTTTATTGTACACTGCAAGATTATAAATGTTGATAAAGTAGCAGAAGAAAATGAAAATCCACCAAGTTGTAACACACCTGATTCTGAAATATTAGGTTCATTTTTGAAATACTCGGAAATAACCTCTGAGGCGTTTTGGGCGATCAATAATTTCTTTATCTTTCCTTTTTTTCCTTTTTTTTTTTTTTTTTAACTTTTCAACAAAAAAAAAAGGGGGGGGGCGGGGGTATGGCGGCCCGAATACAACCTACGCTACAAAATAAATGAAATAGGTTTTCCACAACACGAAGAAACTTTAGTGCAAACCAAGGAGCTAGATTGGCTCACCAATATTTCAAGTTTGATATTAGGTGGCGCTCTCTATTGAAGGGTCAACAAACCAAAATGGCGACTTACATTGAGGACATGCAAAAATATTTTCAGAGTAATGGAAGAACGAAGGAAATGTCTCCACACAATGCCAAAGTGCATTCTGTAGCGTGGAGCTGTGATGGAAGAATGCTAGCATCTGGGTCTTTCGATAAAACCGTTGGTTTATTTACGTTGGATAAGGATAAAATGGTAAATACCTAGGCCCTAGGCCTAGCTAGGCTAGCAGAAAAGTTAGGCCGCGACCGACACGATGTGTATCTATCTATTCGGCGAGTGGGCCTGGGCTCGGCCTACTAGGCCTAAGTGACTAGTAGTTGGGGCCTAGCTAGCCCTATCTATAGGCCTACTAAACTTCCTTAAAGTAGACCTAATTCGATTAACCTACGACTAATATATTTTGTACTAAATTTGTATGTATTTTAGAGACTTGAAACAACCTACCGAGGTCATAATGACAGTGTGGACCAATTATGTTGGCATCCTTCAAATCCTGACCAGTTTGTTACAGCTTCAGCAGACAAAACCATTCGAATATGGGATGCCAGATCTTCCAAGACAGTTGCTACTGTAAATACCAAAGGTATAGACTACACTGCTTACCCAGGCCAAGGATCCCATATCTCCTGCAAGAGTCTCTTGTATTCAAGCATATGTAGCAAAGACAAGCCAAACCAGTCACTCATCGCAAAAATCGATTTTGAGTTATTAATACAGTGTTAGAGAGTAAAATAATAGCTATAAAATGATAAAAAAATCATTCAAATTGGATATTTCCTTATGAAGTTATAAGCGTTTAACCACACAGCTGTTTAAAGAACAATATATGAGAAATCAGCCTTCAAAGTTTATGATTTCAGGCATTTCTCATGTAGAAACTATCTTTAAATCCTCAAAAAGTGTTGTTTTAACATTGAAAATGAGGAAAATAACAGCATAGGATGATGTGTATATATATAAAGGTTAGTTTAGTGCAATAAAATAGATTTTTAAAAATTTGGCATTCCAGCATGTTTTGACCATTTTCTCTGAAACACGATTTGCGACGAGTGACTAGTTTGGCTTGTCTTTGCCACATATATCTCATGCAAACTAAGGCCAAATAAAACAAATTACTAGTAGCTGTTTCCCATTGACCATCTTAAATTTGCCCTCTCGGAGTAAAAAAATGTGCCCTCATTCTCCTTTTTTCAAAATATTAGGACAAGAAACTACTTTAAAATTTTACTTGGCCTACAACTTATCTCCCACAAATTCAGAATACAAAATATTTTATAAGTGGTCAGCAAATTATAAGAAGGTATTTAAAGAAAACTCATTAAATAACATGCACAATACAACTAAATTTAAATACTCATTTATTGCTGATTAATATATATAATTTTATACAAATGGAAAGATGGATGGTAGGCATGCAATTCAAGGCATGTAGCGTATATATTTGAAATATACAAGTATGTGTGTGCATGGTTTATTCAAAATAATTTTTCCGTTTTTTTAGGAGAAAATATTAATATCTGTTGGAGTCCAGATGGCCATACTATTGCCGTTGGCAATAAGGAAGACTTGGTAACATTTATCGATGCTAGGACGCACAGGACTAGAGCTGAGGAACAGTTTAAGTATGAGGTCAATGAGATTTCATGGAACAATACCAATGACCTTTTCTTCTTGACAAATGGGCATGGCTGTATTAATATACTTAGGTCAGTGTACAAATGTAGGTATTTATATAGCACTTTATATTGAGGTCTCAGAAATCTGTATGCATGAACTAGCTTGTACAATAATTGCCTTCTGTCCTAAGGGTCTCTTCGTGTCTGAGCTACTAGGTAAGCTGGTACCAACTACTATCATCTTTCCATTACTTTCATTGCAAAATATACTAGCCAAATCTACAAGTAATTGAACATTTTAAAATGTATTTGTTGAAATTACAGTTACCCAGAGTTGAAGCCTTTGACAACGCTTCGAGCCCACCCTGCCAATTGCATATGTATAGAGTTTGATCCGACAGGTAAATACTTTGCAACAGGTAGTGCAGATGCTCTTGTTAGCCTCTGGGACGTTGACGAACTTGTATGTGTCCGCACGTTCTCCAGGTAACAATTTTTTTTTAGCAATTATGTATTATATTTAGCGAGTTTTATAGAATAAAGAATGTTCATAAGGTTTCCTTCGATTCCATAAAAGGATGAATTAGCGAAGGTAACCTTGCCCAATGTGCAACAGGTGGTTTTTTTTTTGTTTTTTTTTTATTACGTCCATGTACTTTTGTATCTTAATTATACACATACAGTGTATAATACATACCTTAGTTATACAAACCCCAAAATAACAGCCTTTTTCAGGGCCACCATAATGTAAAAATAGTATTATTAATATTATTTTAATACTGCAACAATAAACAAACCAAATACAAAGATTGTTGATTGTGTCTAATTGCGCACTGATATAATCTAAGAATATGTGGACCGAGCGAGATGAATTAGGTCTACCGTCAGTGCCATACTTGAAATCAAAGTTCTACTGTACCTGCATTGTGTATAGAGACGACAGGGTTTTTCTGGTCATTCTCTAAAGATATATTTGCGTTGTCTTTCAATTGTTAGGTTGGATTGGCCTGTGAGGACCATAAGTTTCAGTCATAATGGGAAACTGTTGGCATCTGCATCAGAAGATTTGTTAATTGATATTGCTGATGTTGAAACAGGTGGGAATTTTGTTGCGTACAATACATATATATTTTACATACAGTATATATTTATAATATATACAGTCAAACCTCCCAAATCATCTTCATGATATTTGATAGTAATATATAGTAGCCACTTGTCGCACTTCTGCTACACCCATGAATCTCTATTACAACAGTATGGCCAATTCCTAATGTTACACAAGTAGTGAGTATTAGATGCATTGGGTGGTAAAATGGTACTTTACATATGCCACCAACTAAATTACATGAATAATGTCAAAAATATAAACACAGAATCATGTACACCTTCTAATTCTGTGGTTAAAATTTCTTTCATTTTTGCATTGTAGGAGAAAAAGTTGCAGAAGTTGCTATTGAAGCACCCTCTTTCACCATTGCTTGGCATCCATCACGATATTTACTTGCTTTTGCTTGCGAAGATAAGGACAAATACAATCGGGATAGAGATGCAGGAACGGTCAAACTCTTTGGCTTGCCAAGTGATAATTGAAATATGGGACTGTATTCCGATTTGTGCACTAGGTAACTACCAAATACTATTGCCAACTTTCCTTGGGTTGGATTTGCATGAAGGCTGAAGCTGTCCGACAAATCCCGATAACACGAGTCTAGGGATCGAGCTCCTGTGTCCAGAAAAAGAGTAATTTTTGGCTATATTATTGCGCTGTATAATGGCCGAAATATTAATTATTTTGTCTCCATTTTTGTCTGACATGTTGCAGCCAATATGAAGTCGTCTCACTGCCCCCACCCATGCTAACATTAATAAGCTGTCAAAATTTGGCATTAATTACATCATTGTAAAGAGACTGTTGTTAGGCAAGCAAACTTAAAAGATGAGACATACGAAGAGACTATATCCAGGATATACAAAGTATTTATTCATTTTGAAAATAAAGTTGATTTATAAATTTTTTTTAAATATTCATTAATTTGTTTCATAATCCCAGTTAAATTTAAATAATTGCCTATTGTTTCAGAATCATTACACATAATAAGAATAAGCTAATCATCATAACTGACGCAACAGAAAATATAGGCCTGGCATCGTCAGATTCGCCAAGTGTCATATCCACATCGAACATACATTGCAGCATCCTGTTGTTGTAGTGGGATTCGGCTGGACAAACACAATCAAAAGTCTCCGCGTCGTGGATCGCATTTGCAGGGCACCCAGCTGCAATGTACCCAACCTGATTTAGGTGGTCATTTTCGGTGTCCTCTTCGAGTGATCTTCTCACTCGGTGATTGTCAACGATCTGTGAACGCTCAGAGATGGCATGCTTGGAGAAAACGGTTTTCTGTTGGAGATCTCGTTTTCTTCGCGTCTTCTCCATTAATCTGTAAACCGTTGTTATCGTGTAGTTGCTCCTTATTGCTGATAGCGCTACGTTTGTAAAAACGGATCGATGATATGGAACTGCAAACATAAGATACATTTGTTTTCATTTTTAAAATGCCTTCTATTAATGCAATGTTGACATTAGCAATCAATGTATGAAAGTTGACCTGACACATATATACATATTCATATATATAAATACATATATATATTAGTCTCATGTTCAGTATTGTTATTTGAGGACCTAGCTCTTACCGTCAAGGGCTACATTTTCCTCTGTTTCAATATATGTAGCTGAATCAAGTGGTTGTACGACATCTTCAGAGAGGTCAGACGGAGTGTAGTTGCCATACAAAAACTCTTGGTCCATGTGGGCCACATAGCGTTCCGAAGGCGGGGCTTCCAAGCATCCCTGTTAAAGAACAAAACAGTGAGTAAGAATCTCCTGTAAATGTGTAACCCTGTAACAAACCGAAAAATAACGTAGTACGTACTTTCAATATTCACATTCACATACAAAGTTAAAATGAATGAGCATCAGATACACCAATTGGGTCGAGTCCAGCCCATTTCCTATGGGGTACAAAATTGCACACTAATTAATTTTAGATAAAATGCTTCAGGCCAGTGGTAGATGTGGGGTGAGGGATGGTTAGAGATAGTAGGTAGTTTTCGCCGCACGACGTTAACCTTAACTTATTATTAACGTCAGTACCCAACATGAAGTTCATTGGCCCAGCTGCCGGTTCGCTTAGTTGCGAAAATTTTTTACCATCGACTAGACGAAAACGAAACGATTTTATTTTCCTATTTAAATGTTTAAACTGTAAGTTTGATTGTAACTTTGTGTCGAATTTTTATTTTCATGTTCCTGTGCATAGGCTTCGAACCAATCATTTGTTAAAAGTTCTGTACTCTCGTGTTAATGTTTGTACTATTGTTATTTTTCGTCGTGTTGCACTTTCTTATAATAATCTAGTTCAAATGTTTCCTAATATTGATATTTCTATTTTTAATCTTATACTAAATACCTGTTTTTAAATATATTATTACGATTTTTTTAAATGTTTTTTTTTAAATCATATATTTTTATGAATGATATTGTATATTTTTATGGCGACTGTTATTGGTGTTTTGATACACTGTCGAGTCTTGAATAAATAAATAAAATGCAACACGATAACTCCACCCCTTTTGTAAACAAATCGAAATACGCATGCGCAAACCCGTAACTAACGTCCGTCGAGCAAGTAAAATCCCGAAATTAACGTACTCCGCAACGCAAGATGAATAAATTATGACGTCATTCGTTAAGGTTAACGTCGTGCAGCGGAAACTCCCTAGTATCGACCCGTGGTTGACCATTTTCTTATGGCCGGGACCGAAAATTCTAAAACTACAAGACAGAAAACAATGGCATTATCCAGGGCATGTGTTATTTAATGCAATAAAAAGCCTTACGTGAGGATATCCGTCTCCAGCATATTTCTCACCAATACAGACCATTAGAAGCGTCAGATCCAAAGTGAAATCTTGTCTTAAGAGAGACGGTGAAAATTTCACGTCCATGGTGACCGGCTCCATGTGTGCCACACCTCGAATCGCCTCGGGAACATTCAATGAATCCTCATTCACGCCTACAAAAATAAGAAACATTTTTTAAGAAACCTTAAAACGCAATTTAGTTCTTTGGTCACAACATGTATATTCATAATGTAATACATAGGCCTGTATACATACTTCGTATTTATTCGAATAAACGCCACCTCCAGAGTAATAACACAATTTGATGGTAATATTGTGTTATTGTGCGACTTATTCGGGTGGGTCGTAAAAATACAAAACGTCAAGAGAGATCTCGCTTATGAATAGGGTTGAGCAGAACACGGAGAACCAGGTAAATGACGCACTACGCTTAACGCATCGTCTTACCTTTCAATGCAATGAGTATAATAGTAATTGCATCTGCTTCCTCATCACGCACAAATATTGTAGTTTGAATTGTGATCACAGTGGAAACGGTTACAGCATCATCCACAAGTTCGCACGTTGAGGTATCTAAAACGTCATTGCTTGGCGCGTCGCAATCGTAGAGATCGAACTTGAAATCGAACTGACCACTAGCATCTATCGGTATTTCGTTAGTGAAGTCTACTAGCGGTATATCAATGTCGAGTACAATCGTGAAATCCCACGTCTAATAAAAGAAAAAGCAAAGCAAACATGCCACTGTAATTTCCGTTAGGACAAATAGAATCAGAATCACCCGATTCTGATTTATAGACATCTAAATGATTGTGCCAAAATATCAATCAAACTAAACAATTTCATCATTCAGAACAGGGCCAAGAATATTACACTTTTGTTCGATCCCAAAAAACGCTCGTGTTTACATATACTTTTTCACCGTCGTTTTATTTGACCCTGGCAATATTATTGATAGCCATCAATGATATGATGGCTATCAATCTAGCTATCATGTAGTAGTATACGAGGTGTTCACATGCTTTAGCTTTAAGCTTTTTTGGTGTAATTCGGTCGTTTTGTGCCATACTTTGCAATTATCTTTTTCCACTTCAGACTGCTTCACCAAAACAAAATGCTTTACTGCTGTAATACAAGTATAAACCGAGTGAGTGTCATGCATTTAGGCTTACAATGATGCGGCCTAATTGCGCGCTAACACCAATACTGTATTGAGACTTTTGGAGACGTTCCTCAAGTTTGCGTTCCTAACCTACGTTACCTACTTGATGACATTGTTTCTGAAGTCCCGTTTGTCTGTCGAAGGAAAATTGACAGGCTGGTGTATCTTCAATAGTGGAAGGTGGAAATTTTTCAACATCTACCACTTGATTTTGTATATTTTCTGGGAGGAAGTCTAAACTGCCCTCTTTGTAGACTGCCATCTGTGTCTCTGAGTCGGCAACCGTTGTGAACCTTTTGAGGAAAAACATTTCATTTATTTTTTATATTTGTATATTTCAGATAACGAAACACTTGGGTCCACATGCTTATACCCTATTAAGTGATTTAAATTAGGACTATAACCATTTGAATATTATTCCTATTTTTTTTTGTACAGTATTATTCTGGCAAATTGATTACCATCAACGTTTAGTAGGCTAAAATGACATCTATAAAATAAGGGATTCGCCAAAAGCAAACAAAGCCTGAAACAAGCAAACGCAACAAATCAAAAATAATGAAAACAAATAAGTTCAATCTTTAACCTTATAGGTTTGAAGAACTAATCATCTCATTAATCATAATAAATAATAGTGTTTAACATTGTCCAACATACGGATGATTAAACATGGCCAGTGGAACCCGAGGCCTACCTGAGTTCGAGTTTAGCTCTGTCTGGAATTGGCTCTCCACTTTCATCAAACACTGCTGAAACACGTACATGGTCAACCATCGGCCATATAATAGCAGTGGAACTGATTATCACCTTGAAAAGAATACATGTCAATTAAGGATAAGTAATCAATATAAATGAATATGCACATGCATATAAATAAATAAATAAAATAAAATAAATAAATATATATATATATATATAATTGATTGATTGTATCATACGGTACTTTCTAAGGCTTTTGTTCTATTGTTTTTTTTTTACTCTATAAACCTTGCTTCACGACATACGGTTTGTTTGTATACTTGTCTTGCGTCAGTGATTTGTGTTTATATTGTTTTACATTACTTGGATTTTATGCCTTTGATAAAGGCCCATTGCCGAAAACGTTTGTGAAACCCATTAATAAAATCTGGCAAATTTACCTTGTTCCCGAGTTTTATTTGATATATCTACACTTGCCAAGCCGGCTATTTATTTTTCTACATTACGCGTTTTCTAGAATCTAACTATTGTAATTTAGATCAATACATTTCGCCACCATCTACAAAATTAAATACGGTTTAGAAATCTTGCATACATTTGCGATTGCCGTTCGGCTGATTCTCCAAATAAGTTCAACATGACTCTGAACAAACGCAATGCCATCTGAAGCGCTATTCGGATCCTTTGGACGCACGTTGGTCATGTACAAATTCGTCCTGTATTCGAGTTCGTCGTCGTTTTCTTCATGTGTCATTTTCCAAATCGACTCAGAGTTGCTATTTTGGCACCCAAAAAACACATCCATGCCTGTACTCGCAACCATTTGGTCCGTACGGCGGTTATTTTCTAGAAAAGAGAAAAATGATTCTGAAAATGAATTTAACTGCTCTAAAATTAATTGGTGCAAGCTCACACTATACGTACGGCATTCAAAAACGGTTCTTACTTGCATCAAATTACTCACTGCTATTGTCAATAGTATGCAGTTCAATAATTTTTAAATGCTATTTTGTTTCTTAGTTTAAGACTTAACCATGTTATTTTCACTTGATCCAGTGCCTTAAGTTTTTAGAGATCTAATAGGCCTATCCCCCCAACAAAAAGCTTGCGCCCCCAGTCGCTCCCCCATTCGAAAACTTCGAAGCAAAAAAGATTAGGCTAGGCTTATGCTTAAGAAAATGGGTTATGCTTTCTCAACGTCCCTTTATTGACGTTCATCAAAATACCATATTATGTATTTATTCGTCCTTCATTTCACAGCAACTAAT